GTCATCTTATTTGTGCAGCATGGTTACCCTGCAAAGACTGTTAGAAGATCTCAGTTCTCTCTTTTGAGAAGTCTAGGCTTGATTTTTAGCTGGTAAAAATCTGCAGATTGTGGTCTGAAGCCAAGTGTGGTGATTTGGAACGACAGTGGGTAACCCGTGCAAAGTCTTTCCCTTTTGGGAAACAGAAATGGGTTTAGTTGGCCTAATAGTAATAACAATGGCTACTGCAAAGAGCTATAGTCTCATTTAACTAGAAATTTACAGTAACATATGAGGTAGGTAACTTCATCCCCCATTTACGGACGAGGAGACTGAGGCTCTGTGAATCCAGGCTGAGTGGAAGCCCCAGCAAGAGGCACAGCCTGGATTTGGATCTGACCTGGCTGACTGCAGAGCTCCCCCGCTTTTCCCTCTACACCGTTTGATGTGCATATTTAGAAATAAAAATGAGAATTCCATTCTTGAGGTGATTTATGTCTGTGTTACTCAGGATGGGATACGTGTTTGTGTGCTGGGTGGGTGGGGAGGGCCGTGTTGTCAAAGCCACAGGATAAAAGTGACACCTCTTCCTGGAATACCACGTATCCTTACCATAAAAAGAGACGTAGTAGAGTGAAAAATGTTATGGTGTCAAATGCAAAACTCAAATGCATTTTTAATGGAAAAACCAAGCCTTGAAAGCAGTTTTTCACTGTCCTTGGCTTTCTCTCATCATCACCCTACACTGGACTTCTCTGCCTTAGGGTTGCTTGAGTGGAGAAGTTAGAGAGGCAGTTATGTAATTGCAAGTGCTGGGCCATGTGGGCCTTTTCCACTCTCCCAGCTATATGTGGTGAAAAGGAATTGCTTAACTATATAAACCAGCGTGGGAGAGTTGGCCTGACTCTCTGTTTGTACAGCTGCTCCCTCGGCTCCGCTAGCTTTCAGGGCCCAGAAGTATCCGCCAATAGGCACGGGAAGGGCTTCTAGAGGCTGGAGGAGGTGAGGACATGGCCAGGGAGGTGGGTTGTCCTCCAAGTGCTTGTGGCCATTGATGGTTGGTCTTCTCAAAGAAAATGTGTATGTATTTTTTAGATTTTTATCCATGTTGAATTTCCATGGTTCGAAATTCAAAAATTACAAGAAGGTTTACAATTGAAAACTTCCCTCCACTTTTTTCTATAGCCCCAATTCCCTTCCTCAGAGCTAGGGTGGCCTCAGTTTCTTGTGGAGCCACATCACAAATACACCTTCATCCCCCTGTATCTTCTTTTTATACACACAGAAGTGTGCTACGTGTATTATTCTATCCCTTGCTTTCTCCTCACTTTCTATTCCTTTTTATTTTTAATTGACGCAAAATCATTGTACATATTTATATTTTGATACATGTATACAATATGTAATACTCATATTAGGGTAATTAGCATATCCATCACCTCAGACATTTACCATCTCTTTGTGGTGAATGTTCAAAATCCTCTCTTCTAGCTATTTTGAAATATACAATATATTATTAACTATGGCCACCTGATTTTTTTCTTTTTCTCCTAGCTGCACAGGATACCACTGAACCAATGGAATTTATTTACCTAGTGCCCAATTAATTGCATTTAGTTCTTTGCAATCTTGCTATTGCAGTGCTGCAATTAATAATGTCACTTATATGTCATTTTGCACACATGTAGGATAAAGTGCTAGAGGAGAAATTGCGGGGTCAAAGGGAACGTACATTATAATTTTGATAGATACGACCAAATTGAACTCCCCCAGGAGCTCATACCGATTTCTAGCCCTACCAGCAAGGGATGAGAATACCTGTTTCCTCACACTGCCCACACACTGTGTCATCAAAACTTTTGACCTTGGCTGCCTGATAGGTGAAAAAAATGATCTCATTGCGGTTTTTAGGGTTGGTCCAATCTTGAAAAACAATAGAAAATAGCACATTTGCTACCTTTGCCTTGGTGGTGATGATCGAGTGTGGTGTTTCCAACTTTTTGGAGAGGCAGAGGAACGGGGGTTGATTTTTGTTAACTATTTATGACTGCCTGTATGAGAAAATAAAGTATTAAAAAAGTGAATCCATATAATCCCTTAAAAAATAGACATTACATAGGTGGCATGATATGGCTAAATGAATCATAAAAACCTGTTTGCACTTTGGTTTTATATATAATGGGGCATCCTCTGTCATCTTGTTTAAACAGGACTCAAGATCAAAGAATCGCAGAAACCACACAAACAACTTGAGTGAGGGTGGCAGTGTTTGTCCCCAGTGACCCCCGTCTGAGTAGATCTTTACCAGCTCTGGTCTTGGTGCGATTCTACTGCCTTAGCCACATTCATGAGATACAGACTTAAGCATTTGGAATAGATGACATGTATATCAGAACACTTCAGAGCTGGGAGGCCTCGGGCAGTCCCTAGACCAATTTTCTTTTCTTCATAGGGAAGTCATGGAGAAGAGCTTGCATGTAGTATTTGCCTTGAACAAAGGGATATTATTTTCATTTTTTTTTTTTACACTCCAGGACTGCTGCAGGCAAATAGATACGGTTTCAGGAAAGGGAAGTTTGTTCTATGGGCTTTATATAAAGTAGTGAACTGGGTGTGTGTGTTGCTGGGGGAGCGGGGACAGGAGAGGACTTCTGGAAAGGTTTGCTAACAGAGGCTTGTGTTAAATTATTTGTGAACACAATGCGGTCTACCACACTGTAAAGACAGAGAGAAAAACATATTGTCACTTTACAGATAATCAAAACAGGACTAAGTATCTCAGCACACACGAGCTCCTCTGGAGTCATACGCAACCTGCGCTGCTGTGAAAGGCAGGAGTGGAGTGAGCCCAGCCAGCCACAGGCTGAGCGAGGAACTTGCACACCGAGTTCAAACCACCAAACTACAGGCCAGGGGGCCAGTTGGGCCCAAATCCAGGGTAACGGTGTCTGGTTTTCGGTATCCTTGTTCTTCCTGAGATTGCTGGGTGAAGGAAACAGCACTGATCACACATGTAAGTGTTCCTTACTTTACCAAAGGGTTTGGGCAGGTGTCTCGAGTCTCCTCTTCCCCTCACTAACGCCTCAGCAAACTGCCAGGCCACTGGGGAGAACGCAGCATCTCCCCCACCATCCATACTCTGGCCTCCAGGTCTCCCTTGTCTTTTTCCTTTTCTTGTTTTTAAATAGCTGTATTAAGATATAATTTACATAGCATACAATTCAGCTACTTAAAGGGTGCAATTCAGTGGTTTTTAGTATGTTCACAGAGTTGTACAACCATCACCACAATCAGTGTTAGAACATTTTCGTCACCCCCAAAAAGAAATCCCAAGGTCACAAATATTTACTCCTATGTTTTCTTTTAAGATTTTTATAGTTTAAGCTCTTACATTTAGGTCTGTAATCCATTTTGAGCTAACTTTTTGTGTATGGTATAGGGAAGGGGTCCAACTTAATTCTTTCGCATGTGGATATCTGGTTCTCCATTTATTGAAGGCTCTTCTTTCCCCATCAAAGGTGTTGGCACCCTTGCTGAAAGTGGATTGACAGTACATGTAAGGGTTTATTTCTGGACTCCCAATTCTACTCCATCGACCTGCACGTCTATACTTATGCTAGTGCCAACCTGCCTTGATAACTGTAGCTTTGTCTTATCTTTTAATGGGAGAGTTAGGGCGGGAATGGGCAAACTAGACTTTTTCTTTCCCTGGTCTGACCAGTTGTTGGATTCCTCAGGCTTCCAGTCACACTTCATTTCTCCTCGGTTCATCCTTGGATGTTTCCTCTTGCTGGTTTCATTAGCAGATGATCTCCAAGTAGTCCTGAGAAATCCCAGCTGCCTGGCACCTTAGTTGTCTCCTAGCAATGCCCACCAATCTCATACTAACACAGTTGTTTCGCTCTGATGGGCTTTCTCAGATGTACGCCATTGAACATTTGGGCTGTGAAAAGATGCTCTGGTTTCTGAAACTCTAACTACGCAAGCAAGCAAGCAATTCTAACAGACAGCTCTCCCAAGTGGGTCATGACATAGGCTGTCAAAGCCGAATCTTGCCCTTCCTCGGCCTTTCTTTTCTTGCAGGCATGTGCAGTGTTGTTTTGTGAGCATGAAGTTTGCTGATACTGACATTTTTGTAGTAGTTGAGAAATGGAGGACAGACAAGAGATCTGCCCAAAGAGGTGGAACTCTGGATGAGAACGCTTATCACGCCAGGTTGCTTAACCAAATACAAAGCCCATGTGACATCTGGAATTGACAATAATCATCCTGCAGTTGTTGCCATTCCCTTCTGTTGTGAATTGCGTGCAGCACGAGCTCATTTTCAGATGACATCACCTACAGTTTGCACCAGGCACTGTACCATAACTTTAGCAAATTTTAATTTCTGTTTTACATTGGACGTTAAAAAATCTTTATACAGAATTGCCCTTCATCAAGCATTTGTATTAAGGGCTCTGACCACAAAGAGGGGACAGGGAAATGAATATGTTAGAAGGCAGGGGTTAGGAGGACAGGTTCTGGATTCAGTCTGCCTGAATGCAGTTCCTCCTGAGTGATCTGGGACTTGTTATTTAGTCTACCTAAGTCTTCGTTCCCTCTTCTTTAAGATGGAGATAAGAATAGCGTCTACCTCCTCAAACTGTTAAAAGGTTGAAATCCCATGTGAAGGACTTCACGGGCAAGGGTTGCCAAACTTTTTGTATAAAGAGCAGATAGTAAATCTTTTGGGCTTTGTGACACCATAGGCCTTGCTGTCTCTGCCACAACCACTGAGCTCTGTTGTTGTCACTTGAAAGCAGCTGTAGACAACCTGCAAACGGATGGGCGTGGCTGTGTTCCAGTAACACTTCATTTTTAAAACAGGTGGCAGCCTGGATTTGGCTCAAAGCCTGTTTGCTGGCCCCTGACTTAGCACAGGGCCTGGCACATGCTGGATTTTTCATAAATGTCAGCCATTCTCCCAGCTTGGGGACTGCCCCTTGACACTGAATCCCTTGTTCGTTCTTTGTTTTTAACAGAATGTCGAGATCCTGGCCAGCCGGAGCAACGCTTCAGAGCAAAATCAGGTGGGGGCTGAAATGTGCGTGAAGGTTCTGAAAGAGGAGAAGGAGAAGATGCAGGGAAGAATTAGAGAGCTGGAGCAGACAGTCGCTCAGCTGCAGAGGCAGATTGATGACATGAAAGCCGATGAAGCCAAAGCGAAGGAAACCCTCAAGAAGCACGAGGTAAGGCTCCCTGGGCCCAAGTCCAGGTTTGGCAGCTGCAGATTCTTCTTCCCCGTGCGAGTGGTTTCAGGAGTGAGGAAGAGATTTATTCTCATAATTTAACAGGAAACGTCAAGACAGCAGTGAATATATCTTCTCTGCAAGCCATTTCCTTTGTTCCTCCAGGAGTGGTATGAATGGGAGGCCTGGAACAGGGATCATGAAGTCAGGGGGGGAAACACAGGAATCCCAACTCAGCCAGGTTTCAGAAGCACTCAATCTTCTGAGGCTTCACAGAGGCCTCCAAATACCTGAAAAGGCTGTCTTAACACCACCATTAGGCCGATTCACCCTTAAGACTGTTTAATCTTTTTTAACACATAGTTGATGTTTTTGAAGTTACATAGGTTATAACACACCAATTCTCTGGTTTGCTAGACTTCTAGAAGTGGGAGGCTGTTAGTGAGTGATGCTCACACTGATGGCAGTAAGAAATGGCAGCTGACAGTGAAAGAGGAGACAAAGGTGGTCACCCATCACAAATACCTGGACACCTCCTACAAAACTGTATGTGCCCAGGTCCATTCAGTAACTGCTGTTTCTGAATCTCCAGGGGTAAGGCTAGATATTCATATATTTAAAGAAATCATCCAATATAATTTGGATATCCATACCTGGCTAAGAATTAGAACTGCTGACAGGCACGCACAAGCAGGAACATGGCTGTAGTGTGCCATCTTGGGCCCATGATGGGCATGTCATGACCTTAGCCACTGCTGTGTCCATGGGTGTCTTCTGCATTTGTTTCTTTCTACCGAGTCAGTCAGTTTCGTGGGTAGAGCATGCATCTAAGCACACACTGATGCAGTATTTCATTGTAGGGAGAAACACGGCAATTGGAGGAGGCCCTTGTGCATACCAGAAAGAAAGAGAAAGAAGCCTTGTCAGCCAGAAGGACCCTTGAGAGTGAACTAGAGGATGCACAGGTAAAAATTAGGACCGCTGTCTTTACTCCCTCATAAAGGGAGTCCTGAGAAGCAAAATTGGAGAGACACATAGAGATTGTCGTTGGTCCTGTCTTTCCAGGTAGCTCCTTTTCACCCATCAAAACCAACCTGGGCTTCAAACTATCCATCTAGAACAGTGGTTCTCAAATGGGGGACGTTTGGTAATAACTGAAGACATTTTTTTTTTTTTTCCTTTTTTCGTGTCCGGCAACGGATCGCAACCCTCAGTGTCGCGCCCGTACCGGACCGGACCGGCAACGGGATCGCAACCCTCAGTGTTGCGCCCGCACCTCGCTCAGCCAGTGAGCGGGAACTGGTCTGTATGTGGGATCCGAACCCTTGGCGGGAGCGCCACCGCGCTCCCAAGCGGCGCACTGTAGCAGTGCACCACCGGGCCGGCCCACTGAAGACATTTTTGGTTGTCACAGCAGGGGAGATGCTACTGGCATCTACGGGGTGGGGGCCAGGGATGCTGCTAAACATCCTACAAAGAGAGCACAGGACAGTCCCCACAGTACAGAATTATCTGACCCCAAATGTCGATAGTGCCAAGGTTGAGAAAACTTGACTTAGATATTAGAGAGCTTGACATCTTTCAGTAGACAAAATGTGAATTGTGTGAGACAGACCTCAGGATTGTCCCTGAGGTGGTGTGGAGTCACTTTCTGGCAGAAGCCAATTTCCCTTCTCCTCTGGCCAATGCACGGCACAGAGTTCAGTCCTTCAGGATGACTGTTAAAAGGAGCAGGAGTAAGTCGCAGCTATCTCTGTTCAAAATCAGTAGCTTCTTACAAAATTAGATTTCCCCGTTTGGAGGTTAGAATGATTATTTGAAATGCATTCTTAAAAAAAAGCCTACATTGAAGTTCTAAACTGACTTTGCACCGTGAGCTCAGTGTGATCCAGGTATGCCCTTCTTTCTCTAGGCTCTCGAGTTTTATAGAAACAGCACCCACGTGTCCCTCAGGCAGGTTTCTGAGGAGGTAAAAGCCAGTGTTCTGGAGGGTTGTCTTAGAGGAAGCTTGTTAAAGTTCTCCATTAGGGACCCACTTGTCCATAGGGCTAGGTGGGAAAGGGGCCCATTAAAAGTGTTCAGTGCTGAGTCAGGATTCAGGTTTGTAAATGCCTCATTGCAGCTTTCCTTTGAGGTGTACAGCTCCATCTCCTCAGGGTGCAGAGGAGAGAAAGGATTCACCCAGACCAGCCATAACCCAAGCACTCTCCCCCCCCCAGATCGGAAGCCTACACCTTCTCCCTGGCTTTGGACAGAGAACTTCTTTTTGCGTATAGTAAAGCCCTGTGTTCCCTGAGCTGTGTGTCTGACTGCCCTTGCTTTGGATTTCTTCCTTTTTTATCTAGATCTTTGTTATAAACTCTTGTTGGGATGATTTTGTGTGGATGGCATTTTCACTACCTGAGATGAATACTGTTACCCAACCCGGCTGCCAAAGTGTGGGGTTTGAATTTGTGAGCTAGTTGGGGGCAGAAAGAGAGGAAAAACATTTGTATTCTATAGGAACAAGAATCTGCACTTTTATGTCACATGCAGACCAAGTGCTGGGTGCAGCTATCAGAGTCTCTCAGAACGTCTCCTTTGGTCAAACAAGAACGTTTCACACATATGGAAGTCGTTCACCGGCTGTGAATCTGCAGCTAATGGTTAATTCAGCGTATAAAGCAGATGATGCCTCAAGGCCTACAGATCTTAATGTAATCCCCACCCACCCCCACCTCCGATCTCTAGCCTTGCCTTGGAAATTATCCCCGACATGTTACTTCTGTTGAGGCCTGTTTTCCCAGCGGTGTGGAGATGGTGAGAGTGCTTCTTCCACGTGTGGCCGTGTTAACCACTGGCGGTACAAGCTGGCAAGAACTTAAAACAGGCCTGATGGATCCACCATCTTACCTAAATTATCTGGTCCCAAAAGTAATGCTATGAAGAATGCACCACCATCACTCTAAGATACTTTGTTTTCCCTAAAATTGGGAACCGGATAGTCAGCTCCTTTGGTATCATCACTCTTTCTGCAGGCTTCTTGGCCTTGCAGCCAGCAACCAAAAGGGAGTTTAGTCCTTGAAGAGGAAAAAGTAACTGGCGTTTTTTTCACACAGCATTTTACATTTCAGAATCTTTGGCCTTTAGCAATGTTTTGCATTTTCATATTTGGTAAATGTATATTTCTTTACATGGTAGCTGAAGACCATGGTGAACTTATGTCTGGTTTACTATGACTCGGTCAAAAAATGGCAGAGAGTCATGAAAATGCCGTCTGTGGTTTCATGACACCTACTAGTTGTTTCAGGACTACTTGAGCTGCATTTAAGGCAGAGACATCTGTGATTCTGTTTATAAGTGCTTTCTACAGATGAGGAGGTGAAGATACATTTTCTGGAGAAGCCACAGTAGAGGGAGGGATCAGGCCACATCTTCCCTAAGTCTTCATGTCCCGCCCTCTTGGATTTTGGGGTACTGAGACAACAGAGGGAAAAAGCCCCAGAGCTTCCACTGTGGCAGTCTCTGAGCAGACAGCTTTCTTCTGATCAAGCCCTGAGGCTTACTTGCAACCTTGTTATTCTTAATATGGGCTAATCAGGGCCTTACTCAGTCATATAGTAAAAGGCTCTATGTCCACTGATAGATAATGGCCCCCAAGCTCAAGGGCACTTACTATGCATCTGCCAACTTTGTGTCTTGGATTCTCCGACCTGATACATTTTCCCCCAATTTTTGTCCCATTATTAGTCAATGGGCTTGTATTGCTGGGCTTGGAAATATAGTCAACTGTAGCTACAGAGCATTTCACTCTTAACCTTGCCCACATGAAGGGTTAAAAAGAAATGCAGAGTTGCCAAGTTTGCATCTTTTCATGTGAATTTGGGACATGTTTTCTCAGCAGTGATTTATTGGAACGTATTTCTTGAATAACTGAAGAGGCAGTCATAAACAGTGTTTCTAAACCTTAGGATATGTTAGAATTATCTGGGGAACTTTCAAATGTAAATTTGTGGACACCATTCTAAGAGAAATTGTAATTTTATCAGAAAGGCTAAAATCTACCTTTTCAGTAAGGTGTACCTCACCCTTGCTTGGTGATTCTGATGTAAGAAGTCTTTAGACCACTTTGGGGGATAGGTATTTTCAACCATTGACTTTTTAATCATACACCTAACAATGAACCTGGGCTATGAGACATACCCAGATAGAAAATCTGTTCCTTGCCTTTACAGATCTTACTACCTTGTAACATAGGCAAGCATATAAGAAATATTTTAAAAATATTTTAGCAAAACTATTCTTCTAGCAATGTGTGTGTTGGGGTGGGGGTGTTGCTGGGCCCCAGGCCCAGAGTGGATGAGTCTCTGGTGTCTCAGTGGCACAGGAGGAGCAGAGTGAAGCAGAGCTGCATGAACCACGAGGCAGCTCAATAGAGCTGAGGCCGGCTTGTCTACTGGCCTGCAGCCCTGAGGAAGGAGAGGCTGGGGGATCTGTAGGGGCAGGGGTTGAGTTGTATCCTGAAGGTTCTATAGGAAGCCATTGATGGCCCTCTGTATTTGTTGTCTTCAAGAATTCACTTTTTTGAGATACATGTTCCTGAGAGTTTCTCCCACACAACGGAACCATACCTCTCTGGTCCCATAGTTCCTTCTCGCTACCCTTTGCCCCTGCACCACTAAATGGATGAGCAGAAGCCCCAGGGTTTGAGCCTGCCTCGGGTGTGTGCCCAGCTGCAGCTGTGGTGGGGCCCACTCCTGCTAATTGTCCCCACATGGAACTTCCCATTACCTTCCTTTTACCGCTTTCCTTTCCCCAGCGGCTTTTGTTGACTGTGGTTCTCTGCAGCAGTGAACTTCAGCAGCCCAGCGGCGTTGGCTGCTTCCCAAAGTGCACTTAGCCCATCAGAGCCCAGGGGCTGGGAGGCCTCCATGGGTGGTTTTTAGCCCATGTCACATGGCCAGCTGAGCTGTTCCTATGCTCTGCAAACCAGGAGAGCCCGAAGTGATCTAGGAGTGTTCTCAAGATGCCTGAGTTACTGCATGTGACAGCAGCTGTGAGCTGTTAAACACTATACAAATATAAACCATTGTTCTTTTGTAGCCTCTGCTAGGACACAAGACGGGGTAGCCCCTAAGCAGTTCCCGTGCAACCCACATTCAGCCCTCAGCACCATAACATTTTCCAGATGATACAGTCTGTGTTTGGGTCATGTTGCCCTGTTCTGAGCTGTGCCCCTTCTTGATATCCTCATGTCCATGGCCCTAACACTTAGCCATTTAAAGAAGCCACCATAACCTTCCTAAGATATCATAGGATTTGGTTTTGGAATTGCATGTTGGTCGCATAGAGGGTGTCTGTGTGACTTTGTGAGATGAGAACTTTAGGGGATCCAGGGAAAATATTGTACCCAAGATGGTTGCATTTTATAGTAAGTACTAGCATTGGGTGCTGATTCACCGAATAACCATCCATATGCACTCTCTCTGACTAGTGTCCCTTCCATTTAACAAGTTCTGTTCATCAGGTTCATCAACCTATGGATTTCCAAATTCCCTTTTCATCTGTGTCTGAGTTCAGTTCATGGATTCTGTCGATTACGACTCCCTCTATCCATGTGGACTTTTGGCCAATGGGGTAGTGTTCTCCTTCCTTATGGATTTATGTTTAGCTATTCTATCTGTAAGAACTGTCTGCATAGCAGAATAAATTCTAGAATATTAGGTGCAATGCTATATACCACAGGACATAAATTGCCAAGTAGGTTTAGGTTGGTCAAATGTACAACTTTACCTCAAATTGCAAGCATGAACATTCAGATTTTGGGGGCACTATCCTGAATTCTCACCACCAGCAGCCTTGGCCATTTGCTGTATTTCTGTAAGTCATCCTTCATCTGCCCCTTCATTCCTGTGCATGTTTTGGTTAAATCATCTTTCCTTTTTGGTCCATAAGTTTCCAAACCAACAATGTCCTTGTTTCTCTGTGATGACTTTATTTTGATCTTTTTTCCTTGTCACTGATGAAACAGGTCTGATTGTTTTGTGGGGTGGCTGTGAAATTCCCTCTGCCACCAGTTCCTGTGGCTGACCTTGTAGGTAGGTGACAGCACTGCCCTTTCCCTGCCATCTGCAGAGAAATCTGAGTCGGACCACGCAGGAGCAGCAGCAGTTGTGTGAGAAGCTAAAGGATGAGACTGAGCAGAAGGAGCAGTTAAGAAGGCTGAAGAACGAGATGGAGAGTGAGCGTTGGCACCTCGACAAGACCATCGAGAAGCTGCAGAAGGAGGTGAGGGAGCAGACGCCGGGAGCAGGTGTAGGCAGCCACCTTTGTTGGGACGCGGCCCCTCTCAGATTCCGGCAAAAGCTGAGGAAACCTGCAGTTATGTCTAAGCACAACTGTGTCAGGGACCTGCACATCCCCAGAAGCAGCTCTTTGGACTTGTTGAGAGTCGCAGACCCAGAGAAGCTGGTCTAGAAAAAGTAAATGCCAATACCCTCTGGATTCTGGGCACCGAATCACCTCTTAACAATGAGCAGAAAAACCTTGGTGTGTAGGTGCAGACATAACCCAGGTTTGTGAGTTGTAATCTATGCCTCTGTGCAGAGTCTATGCTTTCGTGTCTCTTACTTGTTCAGGAATGTGAAAGGCAGTTTCAGTGCCCAGCAGTTGCTGCTCCGCTGCTCGTCTCTGCCCCAGAATACCTAGAAGGGGAAGGGCACAAAGCTGATGGGCTCCCTGCCTTCTGGGAGCTGACATGAGTGGCTGCCATTTTCTGACACCTAAGCCAGTCACTTTACTAGTTATTCTGTGTCCAACTAGAAATCTGTCTATGTCCGTGTATTGTTTTAATTCTGACAACAACCCTGTAAAGTAGCTATAATTTCAGCATTTCTGATGAGGACACCACCAAGGCACACAGAAGTTAAGGACATGCCCCAGTCATATACTAGTAAGTAGCAGAGTGAGGATATGACCCCAGGACTGTGTGTCTAGCTCCAAAGGATGTGCTTGTTCACTGCTCCCTGCTGTTCTTAAGTCAGAGGAGACCAAACTGGACAGCCCAGGACCAGGTGCTTTGCATCTTGGAGGAGGCTGCAGAAGAAAGGGAGTAGAGGAGCTGATTCTGGGTTGAAATGGGATCCAAACCCTCTCCCTGGTCTCAGAGGGAGCATCACAGGGTGGGCTCACACCCATGTCACTTCTTCCAGATGGCCGACATTGTTGAGGCGTCCCGCACATCAACGCTGGAGCTCCAGAATCAGCTGGATGAGTACAAGGAGAAAAACCGCAGGGAGCTTGCAGAAGTGCAGAGGCAGTTGAAGGAGAAAACTCTAGAGGCAGAAAAGCACCGATTGATGGCCACGAAAATGCAGGATGAGGTAATGACTGGCCAGATCAGTGCCTCCTTTATCTCTTATTCAAAGCGTCCTTGAAGCCTGCTTTGAAACTCTTCCATGAGGGATTCAGGGATAGATTCTTAAGACAGCTTCTGTGCTTGAGTTGTCATTCTTAAGTCTCTGGATAGTTACGTGGACAAAATGGCATTCGAAGACCAAAAGGACTCACTGCCTCTGGGGTGAAATGGACATGACTTTAACTTGATCATTTTCTTGATGAATCTAAAGTTTTTGTCTGAAAAGTTTAGCTGCCGATTATGGTGCAGCAATGGTGTGCCCAACTGTGGCCAAATGATTTATATGCATTATATATATGCATTACATTTGAATTTAATCCTAGGACAGGGATTGTATTAACTAACTGTTTTTTTTTTTTTTTTTTTACCATTACTTTTTAAAAATACAGATTTTTACTGGGGTGGGGGGGTGGACAAGAGTTTCAGAACAAAAATAAGAGACTAAAAGGAATCCTCAGATCATTACACGATATATGCATGTATTGAAACAACAAACTGTACCACATAAACATGTATAATGAAAAAAAAATCCTCAGGAATTTCTGAGTTCTGAAATTACTGAAACATATTCTTGGTTTCATATTTAAGAACAGAGCTAAGAAAACCAAACGTTAGCCTCCTTCAGTTTTGACCTCTAAAGAACTGTAAAGGGAATGTTTTTGATTGTTTTAATGGAAAGCTGGAGGCTCTAAAATATGTGTACATTGTATGCTGATTTCTAGCTATTCTTCGTGTCAGCTGGATGATTCTTGAGCAAGTTACCCAATTTTCTGAGCATCTGTTTCTACCTCTTTAAAAATACACAAAATATTAGTAATTAATAATTAAACAAGATAAAACATGAGACTTTATAGCAGAGGGTCTGTACATCCTGGACCCTTAATAAATGTTAGTTTCCCTTTCTTTAATTTTAAACCTTATTGTTTTTCATACAGTTCCAAGAGCACTAAGATTCTACAGGAAAACAAGTTTTTCTTTAAAAAACAAACTTTTAATTTCTTTGATGATCAAAGAAAAGTCACCCATGAGTCAGTCCTGAAACTGTGTAAAAGAACAATGGATATTTATTGCAGACTTCTAGAACACTTCTGAAAAGACCCTGATAACAGATCCCCTCTGGCTCAGGGTTATATGATACAGGACTCTAAGTAACAACTGAAATTAGCACACTGATATCACAGTTCTTTGGCATTAATTTTTTTTTTTTTAATTTTTCATTTCTACCACTAAGGGGGAGGGATTCGTATATTTGCTAGAACACCAACAAATACCTGGTCTGTTTTGATTTCCAAAGATTATAGTGTCACAGAGACCCCTGCAAAGTACTTCCCATTGCTTTTTGCATAATGGTTTTTATGTTAGAATCTTTGGTTTGGAAGGACATTTAGAGATCCTTGAGACAGATAATGAAACTGAGGTCCAGAGAGATTAGTTAAGGCTAGATGGAGACTAGTGTTGTTTATACAGGAGCAGTAATTAAAAAAAAAAAAAAAAAAATTCCCTGTAATGCAAACAAAGATGGCCCTTCCTAGATTTTCTCACTGGTGTAGCCCTGTGAGACATTGCTTCCATTGAAAGACAGACATGGACACCTCATTATTTGGAAGGGAAACCGCAGTCAGATACCACTCTTGATTAAGATGCTGAGGTCATGACATTGTTTAAAATAAAAGTGAATTAACAAGCCGAGGTCACTCTGGGCCCTTGAAAAACTCAAGCTCAGCTCCGTTGACTACCCCTCGCCCCGTGTTTTGGTTGAGCTGTTAAAGCTCTTAGTTTCTAGAAAGCTACAGGGGTCCATTCAAAGTACTGTAATACTTGCTGCCTCTGCTTTGAGAGAAATAGCCATTTTACCTGTTTTGCCTTTGAGGTGGAGCTAGAGACATTCTGATGAAGTCAGTCCCTTAGAGACTTAGAGTTCACTCCCTTTCAGTTTATTTTCTAAGTCCTGCTTAGCAAAGGGTGGATTTAACTACTTAAAGGTAGCACTAGTAGGTTTCAAAGGTGTTTGGTCACTTTTAATTCAGGGTATGTTGTTCTCAGACACCATGCTGGTTATTCTGCATGTCCTGACTAAGTACTCTTGGTATGACAGAGCCTTGCTAGGTGTCAGGAGGGACCTGCTGGGCAGTGGGAGAAACATGTAAAGTGCTGGGAAAGATGCCAAGAAGGAAATGCAGGCTGCATACTTGCCTGCCAGTCTTGCTGACGCTCAAACCAACATTCTTTTTGGGTATCATCTCATTTGACTCTCCTAATAGCTCTAGAAGGTAGGTTTTATGATTATACCAATATTGCAAATGAGGAAGCTGAGTCATATAGTGAGATTTACTGTTCTAGAGTATAGTGCACTCTCTGTATCCAGAGAACATCCCATCAGCCTTTTTCCATGGGACGATTGTCCCTCTGTGCTTTCAGTCATGGTTTCCCTGATGGCTACCACTGAAACCAGGCCAGGGTCTTTATCTGTAGATGTCTCCTTCAAGGCCAGGCTGTTCCCACAGAAATTTCAGCCTGTGTTCCTGTCAGCCTCCAAGAGAAGGACACATTTCCTTAAGTTTCCCTCTGGTCTTCCTAAAGTAGCCTATCCTATCGCAGCCACAAAGACCATCTTTGGGGCTTCTCCAACTTTCCTGTGACAGATGCCCCCAAAGGGTGGAATTCTATAATGGAGTTTGCCACTCCCTCTCATGTACGCCCTGAAGGAGATGAGCCCCGGGTGTATTCTCTTCCTGAGACTATGCTTTCACCTAGTCCCTTGTGCTGTCTCCAGGAGGGTAGGACACTGGAGACAAAAAAGACAGCCTTGGGCTTCACTGAATCAGTCCACACAGATATTAAAGAGTACCTACTGTGTGCTGAGATGCCTAGTCCCCTCCCCCCAGGGAGATTCCAGGGAAGTTGAAAACACGGACTGATCCTTGTGAATCAAGCTGTTCCGTCTGTTGCACTTTCTCCAAAGCTATTAGTTCAGTGCCACCTTGTGGATGGAAAAAATCTGTAAATTATGACAGCTGGTAAATCATTTTCTTCTACAAAGCAGTGGTTTTCACCTGATGTACATGTTTATATTGTTAGATTTTGTGCCTGCAATTTACTTTGGGGTCATTAATTTAGTTTTTTTTTTTTAACCCTAAGTTTAAACCTCTTCTGAGGTGATGCTGACACAGGTTGGCAATAAATTACCATCTGTGAAGCACTTACCTAGTTTAGTGGCTTACAAGTGTTTTTGACCTGACCTATGGTCAAAGTGCAATGTAAGAACTACGTCTCGCATTGTAGTCCAGTAATACATACATCCCTACGAATACATGAACGTCTAGTACAAAGACTCACGAAACAGTATATGCTTGTATTCTAGTCTGATTTTTTCTGTGTTCTATTTAATTAAAAAATGCTGGTCAACATCTATTAAATTGAATTTATAACCTAATGGGTTGTTACCTGTATCTGGAAAATCCCCTCCTTTTACAGAAGAGGAAACTGAGACCCAGAGGGAGTTGGGACTTACTCAGTCTTCTGATCTCCAGTGATAGTGGGAGTCCACCAGATCTTCTCTGCTTTAGGATCAGCCTGTGTGCTGTCTGATGAGATCTCCATACTCCTGATGTACCCCAGAAAACCACCCCAACTCCCTCTTGTCCTAGATGCGCTTGATGGAGGAAGAGTTACGGGATTACCAGAGAGCTCAGGATGAGGCGGTCACGAAAAGGCAGCTCCTGGAGCAGATGCTGAAGGACCTGGAGTATGAGCTGGAGGCCAAGAGTCACCTCAAAGACGACCGCAGCAGACTTGTCAAGCAGATGGAGGTCTGTGGGCCAGGGGGAGGCAGCCTCTGCTCACACCTCAGCCTTTGGGAAATCTTGGGTTTTACTCTCTCCAGCAGCTTCTTGATTTGAGGAAGAAGCTAGTAGTTCATAGACTCATAGGGCATGAGAGCTGGAAGGAACAATGGATGTAATTTAGTCTAATGTCTTCATTGTCTTAAAGAGGAAACAGAGCAGATTCCCAGGGAGGTTAGGTGATTTTGCATAAGGGCACAGGTAGTTCATTTTCTGTTCATTCTTTGGGCAGTCCTTCTGTCTATAAAGAGACAAGACTGCTGCGTGTACAGAGAGGGCTACCTCCTCTGATCACCACTGCTCATTTGCCACACCTCTTGTTTCCTGCTTCTGGCCCATTTTCCCTTACAGATTATCGAGTTTTGCCAGAGCTAGCAACAAACTGTGGCTCAATTCATTGTTGGTGCACATAGGATATATGTAATCCAAGACAGTGTATTGGAAAGTGCTCAGTGCAGGCACCAGTGGGAGTGATCTATTCACATTCGAAAAATGAAAATTGAACACATTCGAAAAATGTAAATGAAGTAATAGAATCTAAGCTGGAGAATGTCAGGAAGAACCTTAAAATCAGTCCACCTAAACTTCTAAAAAAGAATATCCCTCAAGAATAAAACTAACCCCAAACCAGACACACACACACACACACACACACACACACACACACACACACACGCGCGCGCGCATGCATACATGAACACACACACCCACCAGTGGAATTTAGAGAGAGATAAAGAGACTAAAAAATAAGCCTCAGACTTTTGGGAGAAGTTAAAATTGTCAAAGTTTGATAAAAGCCAGACAGGGCTTGAGGCGAGGGAGAGATGGCTTGAATTCAAAATCAATGGAATTTCTGATTCAACTTTGCAAATAAACAGAAATAACTTTTTAAAACTGCCGGGGGACTTAGTAGCAATTTATATCTAGGGAGTGCTGTTTCCATAAGTGAAGGTTTTATGAGATGGCCCTCTTTTAGAGACTAGAATAACCTGATTACAGTTTTATTACTCTTTTGTAGGATTGCTGTACATTTTGCTAGTGTCCTGGTTCTAATCTCTTTAGGGGAGGCCATTTCAGGCAAGGTTAGTTCTGCCCATTCAACTAGAAACTGATTATTCTAGGGCCCAAACAACCTGGATAAAAGCAAGGTAAAGCCTTTTCAGGCAGTGGAGGAAGAACCTTTGATGTCATGAGCCCTGGCCTAGACCCCTGAACCCTCCTGCTGGCTTCTGTATAGTACAGATTTCAGGCAAGAAGAAAGCCCCATGAAGACCTCTTTCAGCTTTTAGCTGAAGATTGGGTTACCAGGTTATCTTTCTCTTGAATGTTCTGGCTAAAAAGATGATTTCCTTTGGCTGACTTATGGTCTAGAAGCAGTGGTATAGCTAAGCTTCACCTGCCTTTCTGCAGTATTTTGGACATATCTCCATTAATAACAAAAAGAAGAGCCCTCGAGGCCCCGCCACCATCAAGTGTGCTTGAGGGGTGTTTCTTCCCCTAAGAGGTGGCTGACAGGACTGTCTTGCTGTGACTGATGTCTTGCCTGTTCCTTCACGAGCACTTAAATGGATTCTCAGGACTCAAGAGCTCTTCCAAGGGTGGACATTTCCTGTAAACTCAGAAACTCAGGTGGCTGTTTATGCAGATGCAGCTCTTGTGGATCTTTGGTGACATCTGACCGTAGTGAAACTGGCATTGGAGGAATCGGGAACCACTGAGCTAATAGGAGGCTTCAGTGTAGGACCCAGCTCTGTTCCAGGTTGGTCTCCAGGACTCTCGGCTTCTGGGAGAGAGCTTTCTAACTTCCCTGTAGTTTTTGATCACTCCCAGGGAAGGCCCTTCACAGACATTTGGTTATTCCCATGGTTCTGTGCATTTTATTTCTGGTGGTTGCAGAAGCATACATCATTTGTTAATCAACTTTGGCAATTGCAGAGACAATACACACAAATGCTGCAGGCTCCTGTGTGAAATCTCAGAGTGCCAGTTGCTTTTTAGTGTTTGTGGCTCTGAGCTCACCCTGACATTTGACAGATTTGCTGGTGACAGGTGAAACACATGCACAAAACCCCCAGTCCACCAGTTCTAAAAGGGGTGGTTTGTGTCAGAAGCCTCTTTTTTCATGTACAAAGCTTTGAAATATTTTTCTCTTAACACTCAATGACGTTAAATTAGGAGCCAGCTAGGAAGATACAAATCATTATTCTGTGTGATGATGAGTTTAACAGAAATGGCCAGCACTGTCTTTGTGTTATTCCAATGCAGGTGTGGGATGCAAAGTGTGCGGGGAAGAGAGAGGCAGGTGCAGAAGGCTGCTATAAACTTTACCCCTGCAAGGGTCTTGGAAACCCTGAGTAGGAGGGAGACAAAACATCATCTTGAACATGAACTATTCAGAGAAATGTGCCTTGGACGGTATCTCAGCCCCACATTGTTTTTTAATAGGCAATTGGTTTAGGCAGATCAGTTTAAAGTTATTGAATTACAGGGAGAAAAAAGACTTGAAGGAAACGTGCTAAAACATCCTTAGTGTTCTTCTTTTTTAATATATTTTTCTTTTTCTTCTTTTTATGTGTTTTCTACATGTAAGGTTCCATTTTACATTACAAAAGTAATAGAACACATAGTTTTAAAAATGTCTGCTTTGGGCAGTGTAAGAAATAGACATATCATTTTTCCAAACCCTAATGATACATAGCTCTCATTTGCCCTTGAAGTTTTCTTCCAGTATTTAGTCCTTGTTCCTAATCCCAGTCACTGCAAGTTAACTAGGCTGTGTTTGTGACTTTTTTCTTAGGACAAGGTGTCTCAACTGGAGATGGAACTGGAAGAGGAAAGAAACAACTCGGATTTGCTGTCTGAGAGGATCACTAGGAGCAGGGAACAGGTACTGTACTATAGCGGGATGATGAAAGATTGACCAGCCTGATAAAGAAGACATGGGGGTTCAAACCCAAGGATTCCATTAGAGCAGGGAGAGGAAGTTCATGCCACATGGAATATGGTGGAAGTTTGTGTAGTCTTTAAAGCATATAGTGGAAGATTCCAGAGTGATTGCGGATAGCATCCTATTAGTCAAAATAGACAAAGTGCTTTTAGAGCTGAGGGTCTAAGAATCACGAGTTCAACAAGCAAATGAGTGAAATTTGGTAGCTAGCACTATGTTAGGTACAACAGAAAGTGAACTCTATAATGCAGCCTTTTCCTTTAAGAACTTTACGAGCTAATTAGTATTACAAAAGACCCACGAAACAAAACAAAAAAAGCATTCCATACACCTATGAAGCATTCACAGTACAGTAACGGTGACTGCCAAGTGAATGCTTTTTGCAGTTTTGAAAGGAGCCCCACTTACATTTGATCCCTCCCATCCAAGTACTAACCAGGCCCGACCCTGCTTAGCTTCCGAGATCAGACGAGATCGGGCGCGTTCAGGGTGGTATGGCCGTAGACTTACATTTGATCCCTACAACAACCCTGCAAGGCAGAGTCAGGGACAGTTCCCGTTCTCATACTGTAGACAATGGACCTAATTTCCCAAGTTACAGGCAGCATCATCCCAAAGTGTTCGGATTTTGTTTATTTTTTAATTAAGTGAGAGTTCAGAGTGGCTATGTGATGTACTGGGAGTGGTGGGGTAGAGGACAGTGGTCTTATCACTAAAAAGTAGTGGCATCGTTAACTAGTTTTTATGTCTTCAGTGCATGCCCGAACCATGTGACAGATGAAATATGGAAACATTTTTGGAGAGGGATTCAGAATACTCAGTGGCAGTTTTGAGGAGAAATAATTTGCATGCACTAACCTTAGCCCTTCATTTACATGATACCTGTGGATACATGTAGAAACTTCTGACAAGGTGGGCTTTCAATGCCGACTTAGTGGTGTCCTAGAGCCTGAAAATGCTGCTGGAGGAACTGTACCTAGACGTTTAGAAAACCTTTCACCTCTTTTTGACTATGATTAGCACTTTCTTAAGTAAAAAAGTGAAAGCAAAACATAAAAACCTTGGAATGATGCTGAGTATAAATTTGGAAATTATCTGATAAAGGATGAAAATTAAAAGTCTGAAAAACAAGTAATTTGGGTAAAATCTTCCCTATCCAAAATCTTCCTCTGGTCTCCCTTCTGCTTATTCACATGCACCACCTATCCCTGAGCTCAGGGTTACTAAGAACTGGAGGTTCCAGTGCTTAGGGATAGCACCACATGAGCTGGCAGCCCCTGCTCAAAGTTGAAGGTGAATCACTGGCTTCTTTTCCAGATCCTTTCTTTCCATGCTGCAAACAAGTGTGATGTGCATGTTGCTTTGCTCTAAGAGTGAAGGAAATTTCAACCCCAGGCTGCACCCTCCTCCCTGCTGAGCATGGGTCCTGTCTATATGTTGCAGGGCTGTGCAGCAGCCCATCAGGCCTGAGCTGCAGAGTTCTTACTGAAGTCTGTGTTTTTCAAGTTCTCTCAGTGGAATAAAGGCTGTTTTGTTATAGGTTTTTGCCAGCTTGGCTAAGTAGCCGCATTACCAAAGGACATTTCAGGATCTGCTAAGCATTCATAATGACAGAAGAGGTGACCATGAATTTGTTTTGACAACACTTCCTGTGACTTATGCAAGGAATGGTGGGAAAGTATGTAATCCCATCAGTAACCAGGCAGTTAAAACAGACTTTCAGTCCCATGTTTTACACCGAAAACAAAACACAGACATGATGAACCAGAACGTGTTTGCCTGCCTTGGCTCAGCCAGTGGCACAACTCTAAGGGAACTGATCGCTTAGATATCTGCTCCCAGATTTGCAGCTGCCCCTTCTTCTCTCAATGAGCACTTGGATGGTGGAGAATAGCACTGCTCTCTGTGATGTGGTCAAAGGTGAAAATGTTTCCACTGAGCCAAGAACTTGAATTAAGTCCAGGCAGGAAGTTGAGGGAACTAACTTGGTCTGCTGGAGAGAGTACTGGGCTGGGGTCCTGCACCAGCCTGGTATAGCTCCAGAAAGGTCCCAGCCTCTCTGAGCTCGGTCTCTAAATCTATAAAAATGAAGCTATCGACCCAAGGGATTTCTGAGGACTTTTCTAAATTCTAACAGTGAAATGCCGTGAGAAGGTTTTATACAACCAGAAGTGTCTGAATTCACCCTTTAATTTCCCCCATTCTCTCCCTGTATCTGAGTTATATGCCTGAAAAGATGAGTTCCGCATACATCTCTAGCCTCTTTCCCTTATTAGCTCTCTTTCCTTTCTTCTCACTGCATTCTCCGAGGTAGGGAGGGTAAAAGCCTGGTGTCTGTTAGAAATGGAGAAACTGAGCATCGTGTTTAAATTGATGCAGGAGCTGGTAAAACAACAAAATAGAAGCTCTGAGATAAAGTGAATTCTCAGAGCTTCTCTTCTGGCTTCTCCTGTCTCCTGAATTGTGAGAGAGGAGAGAAGTGGGTTGACCAAATACATACCTAACTGGAAGCATTTAACTCTCAGTCAAAGTTGAGGTTGATCTGAGGCTTCTTCCCTGCCTCTGAGAGTGAAGGCTCTGTGGAGAGGGCCTTGGGTGTAGACAGATGGGTCCTGATTCTGAGGCCATTTCAGTCTGCTTAGGTTCACTTCTAGCCTAAACTCTGTGCCTGCTGCTCTCCTGCTAGAATCAGAGCGAGTAAAAGAAACATTCAAACCTAAGGCCCTTTCTCCTCTCCTCTCTCAAATGCTGACCTGATGACACCTCCTTAATAAGGGGTGTCATCTAAAGAACAGGAAAGGGAGCCTGATATCCTGATCCCGATTTATAGCGCTGGCCCTGGATTCCCTGCAGACTGTTACTAGGCACTGAAAATGGAAGGCATGTGAAATTTTATTTTTTGAATCTTGCTCTCTTTAAATTAAAAAGTTAAAGCTTACAGTTTTCTACTTAAACTCACAATTTTTATAAGCTCCTTTTATGAATCTCTGTTTCTTGCAAACATCTCCCATTCTTTTTCCTAGGCTTAGTGATAAGGCTGAGGTGAATAAACTGTAAAAAAGGTTTTCCAGCAATATTAGTGAACGGCCAGCCCCTCTCACAGAATCTTAGATCTGGCAAAGGCCTCAGAGTTCATCTCTCCAGACTTCTCGTGTAGTGGATGAGAGATTTCAGGCCCAGAACTACCTAGGGATCTGGCCAAAGTCATGCAGACAGTTAGCTACAAAGCTGGCTTTAGGTCTCTTGATTCCCAAGATAGTGTTCTACCTACCAATGCTTGCCAAGTATGATGAATACCTACTGTGTGCATGGCACTGCGGTAAAGCTACACAGTTATCAAAAATGGTCCCAATCCTTGAGGTGCTATTATTTGTTTAAGGAGATGGGCCAGACCTAAAAAGTGGATAATTAACAATAAGAAAAATAGCAGATACTAAATGCCAGGTGAAGGATTCAAGCGGCTAATGAGGGAAAGACCATCACAGCAAGGGAGGCCATGGAAGAGTTTTAGAGGAAAGTTTACCTGGAGTCACCTTTAAAAAAGGGTAAGATTTAGATTAACTAAGAGGAGTAGGAATGGAATCCTAGATGGAATGAATGATGTGAACAAATCTCGGGAGGGAGGCAGGAATATATACAGCATTTTGAGGAGCAGTGGATGGACAGTATGGCTCAGTGAGGTTTCCAGTTTCCACAAGGGAATGAAAGGAGGGAAGTTTGGAGGGGCATGTTGTGGGTTTTGGATGGCCCTGTCCTGAAGGCAGTGGGGAGCATCGAAGGTTGTTGAGCAGAATAGTGAAGCATACACAGTGCTCTGGAAGATTAATGTGGCAGAGTGGGGGTGAGGACTGGGGAAAGAGAGACTGGGAGGAGGCCTCAACCGCGCTGTTCCCAGGGACGGAGGACAGGGAAGGCAGCTGTGACATCAAGCATCCCATACTTTCCATGCCTCTGGTTTTTCTTTCTCTATTTTGTGCATACATTTGACACTCAGTGAATGCTAGTCACATTATTTGCAAGTTCCCAATCTTTTTAAGGCCTTTCTTTTCCGTATGTGCTCAGGATAGTATTATTCAGACTGATGGATTCAGGGAATCTTAATTGAGAGAAAAGTTTTTTAAACCTTTTGGATGTTTAGACTTTGTCTTCAGATAGGGTTAATATGAAGGAGAAGAGGGAATTTGGATTTGATAAAATGGTATCTTATTTTATAAAACAGAGGTGAGGAATATTTGTTTTCTCACCCAAATATAGTTTCACCATATGCAAAAAGGATTCTGATTGACTTACAAATTAAAGGAAAATTCAATTAAATAGTGGGTATTTTATTGGCTTTTGATCTGTTTAAATCCAGAGAAATCTTTTTTCCTCTTTTTTCTCCAAAAACCAGGTTTCCATTTATGATAATTGCCATTCTTGCCGAGGATTTACCAAATGCTAGGCACTCTGCCATGTGTCTTGCGTGCTTTCTCATGGTTTTCAGGGCTTGTGGGAGCAAGTGACTACCTAGGGTCATACAGCTTGTAAGAGGTAGAACGACAATTTGGCTGTAAAGCCTACTGCCTCCTGCCTTTCCCATCATCTCTGCATCAGACTATGTAAAAGTCTTAAAGACCTGCATGCCTCCCCGCCCCCACCAAATGCACTTGGGCCTTTACCCCAAGTTAAAAATAATGTCATGGTGTATCTTTTTTTTTTTCTTTTTGTATTTGTTCGTGTCCGGCAACGGACCGCAACCCTCAGTGTCGCGCCCGTACCGGACCGGGACCGGCAACGGGATCGCAACCCTCGGTGTTGCACCCGCACCTTGCTCAGCCAGTGAGCGGCCGGTCTGTATGTGGGATCCGAACCCTCGGCAGGAGCGCCGCCGCACTCCCAAGCGGCACACTGTAGCAGTGCGCCACCGGGCCGGCCCAGTCATGGTGTATCTTAAGATGGGT